AAACCACTTCTCTTGAAAATATATCTCAAGAGTTCGATCAGGCTGTGTTTTTTTCCAACATGTAAATATGCATTCCTTAATTCAGAGACCCATTTCATAACGTACTAGGTACAATACTTCTGGAAGGAAAAAACACGTTGCAAAAAAAAGTCCCTGCAACATACAAGGCATCTTTCAATCAAATGCAGTATCTCTTCAAATAAAACAAGACTATCTTCAGAAATGTAGCCACTACTTTGAAGAACATACACGTTTTTCTCTAAGTGACACTACATTTGTTGAAAAACAAGTTGGATGTTTAAAAGAAAATGCTGATGTGGCACAAGTACTGCTACATTGTGCTTTCTAAAGTTAGTATGCACGCATTTTTTGACCGTAATTGTGTATACTTGAAATGAACAAATGTGAGCCGTCTTTGCTTACACAAAAAACTCACAAATGCTACCTCTGTGAGATTGACAGTGCCCCTTCTGAAGAAAAGTGACTTGAAAGGGCACAGAATTACTTCAATAAGAAAGCTCTCTTAGTCTCTGCAGTATTCACTGGAAACAATAATATATTTTCAAAAGAGTTGTGGTGTAGCATTACTTTTTTGCGATGTTCCATTCACAAGAGTGATACATTCCCTTAAACATGGTGGGGCATTCCTTCAAGAAAATGCAACATTGCGTTGGCACAGTGTGTTCATTGATTTTTCAGGTTTGGGGAAAAGACCCAAAGTTGAAATTAGTTCATGGTAGTTAAATCAATCCCATCTACTTAAGGGAAAACCAAGATGGATGCATTTTCAGAGGAATGCGTTCAGAATGCATTCTTCTCCCAATCTAAGATCTACGATCTAAGATCTGCTCAGGAGTCCTGAGGGAAGCTTAGATCCAAATCTAAGATCTAAGATCTAAGAATCTAAGATTGGTCATGAGTCTTGGGGGAATCTTAGACCTTAGATCTTAGATGTTGGTCAGGAAAATCTAAGATTTGCTCAGGAGTTCTGGGGAATCTTAGATCTTAGATTTGGTTAGGAAAGTCTAAGATTTGTTCAGGAGTCCTGGGGGAATCTTAGATCTTAGATCTTAGATTTAGCAGGGAATGCATTTTGAATGCGTTCTTCCCAGAATGCTATCATTGAAGTTAAGTTAAATCAGCCTAACTTGCTTACTACACTACTATATATACATATATAGTAGCCCCTCTTGAAACTATTGCCAAAAATTCCTCAAAATAGGCCTGTATGTAAGGTAACGGTAACCCCCTTTTGACACAATCATGTGATGAATATGTAAAAAAGGTGGGTTTCAGGGGGGTTACCATGTATATATATATATATACATAGATATATATATATAGAAAGATATATGTACGTATATATAGGCATCGAATCGATATCGATATATACATATATATATATATACATATGATTAATCCTGGACATGGCTGATGGTCATATCCAAATCAACGCACCAAATAGATAAGCTTTCGGAACACCCGTTGCCAAATATCTGCTAAGAAAGCCCTTTTTGGAGACCCCAAGACTCTTCCATTCAAGTCACTTCGATTTCACTTCAAGCTCAGGCGTCACAAAAACAATTCACATTTTTTTGACCCTTGCAAAGATGACACGTGGACTCGTTTTACGACATGTTTGCGGACCCCAAATGATTGCACCCCCATTCCCATAAGCTTCACCTTCACTTCGCACACTGCTGGGTTTTCTTGTGGAAACGGGGATCGTCGTCGGGGTCGAAACACTTCGACCATTGAATCTTGGAGGACCCAGCCTCCTGGTAGTGCAGCTGCTATGACACCTTCCAGGATACCTGCATCAAAAAAACAACATGGGATTAGCTAAGCTGGAGCATTCCAGAATTGATTTAAGGGAAAAGCCTGCAGGAGAACACCATATCTAGACCCTAGTAACAACATTCACCAAAATTCTAGCACTGTTTCTGCAAGATGCAGGTTTAAGCAGAACCAATCATAGTGGGGGATCACCCAAAAAATAACATTTTTGGATATGAGCCTGCGATGGCGTATCAGTTCACCTTTGTGCCCTGTTTCACCAATAGTTCAGAGCTGTTCATGACTCCGCCCATGGACGCCGTATCTCCCGTCGCACTCCAAGTGGTCGCTTTGGGTTTGTTTGTCCGAGCCTGATCAACCCGTCGAGATGACCAAATCGACACGATCACGGCTGGTGATCAGGGCCAAAAACAGTAGAAATATGTAGAAATCAAAGAAACCCTGGGAGATGTTCACTGAACTTTTGCGTGGTCTGATCGCAAAATCAGAAGACGCACCCTGCGAACCTCGATTTCAGACTCAAATGTCACTCGAAGACCTTCGCGGCATTTGGACTCATCTGCACCCACCTTGCTCCGCTGAGAAGCGCCGTTGAAAAAAAACTTGGAGAAATGTTTATTCCCTGGTGAGATTGCCGATTAAACATGGGATGATCAGAACTTGGTATAGATCCCCAGTGTTCATGGATGATATTGGATGATATACCGAGATATACCAAGTCTGTAATGAGCTGTACCGAGCTGCAGGTATCATCCCAGCCATCTTGGTAGGGCCACCAAGGCCCCAGACCAAATTCCGCGCGGGCGCGAAGATGTCCCCCTGACCCGGCCTCGAGTCTGGCAATGCGTTTATTGTAGCACCACGATTAGTGTTATGAGGTTCAGTTGTAGGCATAGGCCTGCAATCTTGAAAACCCTTTTTCCCATATTTTTCCAATATTGAAAACCCATAATAAACCAACAGTTTTATATTAAAATATTTATACCCCATAATGAACCCAGATGATTTTAACCCACGCAAACAATTACACAGAAGTCGCTATTGGGTTCAGGCCCAGATAGAAGACACTTGGAAATGCTTTCACATTTTTCATAGCAGCATAGCATAAAACTTAACCAGGGGATATCCAACCAGGGGATACTCAGCACAGCTCAGTTCAGAATCTTTGAGAGAAAGTGGTTCTAAGTTATGTACATATGTCAATGTATATATATATACACAATTCTACAGCTTTTATAAGCTGTATCCCTACTATCTTGATGTATCTTCTACTCAAAGACTGATCTGTGATCCACAAAAATCAACATGTCAGAGGAGCTGTCTCTCTTCCTGATCTCTACCCCCGCAGTGTTCATTTCGAGTCGGTCCCGGACTCATCAGGTGTAATAAAACCAAAGCCCTTGTCAGCGAAGAACTTCTTCAGGGTCCCAAGCCTTGTGTTGGGGCAGGATGTAGTAGGTTCAACCCGCCCGGAAAAAATATCCACCCAACTCCTTAAGCCCCAAGATATCTTGGGAGGGGAGAACTTCGAAAAAAACCTGAGTTTCGTAGTTCCATCAACGAGAGTTTTGCTCTTCTTCCAGTGATCAGCCGCTGGCACCATGCAGATGACCCATGAAACACGTTGTTGCAATTCAATGAGGATTTACCACCATTTGATGACCATTTGTGGTGGGGAATGTGATGATAAATTAATGGATTGGGAGTATACCCTATACCCCATCTTTGAGCAAACTCACATCCCAGGGTTCCCAAACGGCATGGCCGCAGCCGCACCCGCCCCACCGGCGGGTTTTTTTGAGCACTGGAACCGGCGGAGTGAGCAGGCGCTGAGCGGGATGGGGTCAATCTTTTCGTTGGAGCGCCGAGCTTTCACCAAAGAACCAGAGGTTTTTTTGAACCATCTGCAGCTGACACAAATTACCAAACCACCCCAAAAGATTGGTACACCCGTAATAGTTGCAGCGAAATCGAAGAGTAGTAGTATATCAGGTCTCTATTCCAATGGTATATCAAATGCTACTGGCAATTGAGTGATAGTGGTATTCCAGAAAAAATGACAAACCTTGATGTCACGGACTTTTGGGTATGGGTCAAACTTATTTTCGACATTGAAAACCACAAAACTGAGACCGGACTTGTCCCTGTCGGTATACTTGTGGGTCCAGATAGGGGGGTATCAATGAAGTATGACTTAGCTATGGCCTATGGCTATAAACCCCCATAAGTTGGGAAAATTACTATATATAAAACCCATTAAACCCCCATAAGTTGGGAAATCTTGGGATATAACCCCCATTTCTACGCTTATCCCAACAAGCTGCAAGGGCCGCAAGGGCCCCCGGACGCTCCCGGACGGTCCGCTCGGCGGTAGGGTGGACTTAGCTGACTTAGCTACAAAGATGGGACTTGACCACCAAGACATCAATGAAATGAAAGAGCCTGGCAGCCAAACATGAGGACTTAACCGACTTAACCATTGAAACATTGGACATGCTGGCAACCTACAATCGGGGTGTCATGTTTTCACAGGCTTTACCTGTCAGATCTGTCAGAGTCATCTCCTTCCCCAGCAGCTTCCAGACTGGTACAAAAAAGAAACTGAGGTCGCGGCTCGAAATGCTCAGATTGCAGTTGCGCTGACATTGACAGTCTTTGGTCGCAGCTTTCAACCTGGGGAAACCGGAAAACTCTGGGACTGGAATACCCTGGCAGCTACCCAGCTACCTGCAAAATGGCCCCATGAATCAGCACTACACTTGGCCATCATGCAGAAGATGAGCCTCAAAAAGCTACTGAGCTGCTTGGTTGACCTTTCCCTCGACCGCTGGTTTTGTTCAAAACCCTGCTTTGATTTGGTGAGTCAGATGCGAAACTGGAAAATGGATGAAAAATAAAGCTCTTCCGTGCCAAACCACACCAAAAGTTTTACCAACTACCTACCTGAATCCAAATGACCAAGCATCAAAATATATGCCTGGAAACCATCAAGCAAGCGGTCTCTAACCTGAACCTTCAACCGCTGTCACTCTTAGACCAAGGCCCTCACACAGAGAGGCTATCTGAGCACAACTCCTGAGCAGCATGATCCACCAGCCCAGTCCTGGGGTGAATTGTGGGATGCAAATCTTCTTCGTGAATAAACCTCAAGTCAAACACCGATTGAGTAGAATCTTTGGACTGCATAGTTTCACAAAAAGACTCCGTTTTCTCACAGCCTTCTGGCCACAATTCGCATGTAGGTGCAGCCAGCGACACCAAAAACGCTGTGAGTCTCTGCAATATTCACAGGAGACAAGCCAGTGGCTCGTATCCATTTGCCAATATCAGTGCACACTTCAACCTCAAAACCATGTTGCAGCTCTTGCAACAAGTCACGCACCTGTTCCTGCATGAAGGCGTCACACAACAAGAGCAAACCTCCAGGATTCAGGACATGCTTCGCTGACTGCACAAGTTCCTTCTTATCCAACTCAGCACCAGCTTCCACGCACAACAAGGCGTCAAAACTCTCGGCCTCAAAGGCATTGGAAATCTCGGCAATCTTCACTTGTTGGAAGGTTAGGCCAGGAGGAAATGGTTCATGTACAGCTTTACATATCTTGATGTTCTCCTCACTTTCATCAGTTGCTACGTAGCGTTCGGGGCCGCAAACCTGGGCCAAGTAGCGCGCACCGCCACCACGCATGCATTCCAACTCCAGGACCTGCTTGTTTCGCAACATGTTCTCATCCAAATTCACAATGGATTCGCCCCTGCTGCTGGCCATGTGATAATACAAGGCTGCTCCATACATGTGCATCTGCCACTCCCAGGAACCTTTGGGGAAGCCTTTGCGCAAGACTAACTGATGTTCGGGGATGGGGGTCCCAAATTTGCCCCCAGAGTTGCAGATATCCAAATACTCTGGGTAGAGATCGGCAGAACGACGTTGATTCCACCACTTCTGCAAGCGGAAGGTCACCTTGCTCGCCAGGGTCTCGGGCAGGTACTCTCGCCAGTCAGGGAGGTGAGCCATGTAGCCACCCTTGGGAGCATGTCCTGAGAGGAGTCGTATGACTCGGCTCCAGCAATTGGGGTTCCGTTTAAGGAGGACGTCATCATATGTTATCATCGGGATGGGACTGATTAATGAACCTTCCCTACTCAACAAGTGCTCACCTGGGAAGTGATTTTTTACACCAAACTTGCCATGTTCACCTGGGACGTGATGAAAAAGTCCCCTTGATTTTGGGGCTTAAAGTAAAAAAAACAAACGCCATGGGAAGTTGTCGCTGTCGCCGTCCTCCCCAATGCTTCCATCGAACTTGACACAGTCGGCCATGGCCAGCGCTCTTGGCCCGCAGGGTTAGCGCCCGCGTTGGCACCATGGCGGAAGTGCGAGGAGAGCAGGTTGGCCGAAGACTTAGAGTAGATGATCAACTGAATCAGTACTGAGTTCCGGGTCACCTATATAAATCATCCTAAATCCAATCATCGTTTTTGGATGGTTTTGGTGACTATTCTCCGGATGATGTTTTAATCAAGAATGATACAATGATGAACAGAAATAGAAACCGATCATTCGAACAAATCATAGCCAGTAGTAGTCCTGACGAAGAGGGAGAACCAATAGTAGCCAATAATTGCCAGTCCTAGCCACCAAGAACTAGTGACAACAAAGAGGAATCAATAATAAGCAACAAGAAACCGTAAGAACCGATAAAAAACAATTAACACGGTAATAACTAATGGAAACGAAAAAAAAAAACACAAGAACCAATAAAAACCAATATCGGTATGGATCAACATGGATCCTAAATTCCATTTTTTGCAGTTTCCCAATCTTGACCTTGGTAATGATGATGTTCCTTGAGGTCGAGATTGCGAAGCATTGAGTTTCCCAAGAGAAAAAGAACGGACGCAGGTTATCATGGGACAGTTCAAGGCTATGGCAACCGTAGTCATTTCTCGTGGTACAGAATCCCAGTCTTTGATTAGCGTGATCCATCCATTTTTCCGGGTCTGTCTAATATTTGGGTCCTTCAAAATCGACCATACTGGCTCATGTCCAGAAATCATGGATGGGATATTCGAACAATTTTTGCAGCCAAATATCAAAGTTCTTGGATTTGGGAACCCAACAAAAATCCCAATGATTGTTACTGTTTGTATCTCCTTTTTCGTGGGTCTGGGTCCAAATTGGGAAGGGGATGGTGAGCCCTGGAAATGACTGGAGATGGAAAACCCCCATTTAATTCAATGATTGTCCCAGCTATAAATGTTCATTCCTTGGGGATTTCCGATTGCTAGGTTTGATTCCAAGAGGGTGGTTCTTAGGTTCATAACTTTCACCCATACTCATAGATCATGTTTTCTTGTTCTACAACTTGGGAAATCAACCACCAGAAATGGACGTTGAAAGCTGCACGGCTGGAACGGTTACCGGTCCTGGTCCTCCACACAGCCTGTGACCTCGGCAAATATGGCAAAAAATGATGCAATTTGGCAAGCAGCAAAAGAAAATGGGCAATGCCATGGCTGCCATGCAATGTTCAGCAAAAATGGTCCTCCGGTTGCCCGGCAGAATGGTTTGGTAACTGAGGTTCCAACAAACACCGTTCATGTTGACTCTTGACCATCGATTGGGATTGGTCTTGCGGCGTCCCAAAAATGTTATGTTTTCCTTCTCAATTTATCATTTGTTGAAGGGAATTGGGGGTGCTGATGAGTGAATTTTGCACAACAATCAGTTGGGTTTGTAAACGACAGAATTGGTCAAAACCAAATCGTATGTGAACGGTGCTGTCGGAAAAACATGTGATTGTAATATGTTCCTCAATAAATATGTGTGTCACTTCTCGTGCGTATGACATCATGGACAGTCAACTTACATTTACATTTTGGTCTGGCGGATTCACAAACAAACCCATGCAATTCACACCTGCCGCATGCACACGAAGCTCCGAAAAAACACGCCAAAATGCCTGAAATTCACAACCATATTTTTTTGTTCAATGGGAGTGTCGAACAAAACGGTCATGGTTTCCCTAGGTTCCATTGTTGCGAACACGACTTTGAAAACCTGAGAACCGGCAATTACCCCTCCACCATCTGCGCCATTCATGTGTGTTTGACTATGGGATCGAAAAAAATTGATGTCATGTCGTGTAACTCATGATTTGTGAAACGATTCCTTTGTCTGTGTCAGTTTTCTTTCCCCACAACGCGTTTTGTGCGATTGGAATTGTTTATGCGGTCTGTTCGGATGCATTTCGTCAAGAACCAAGTCAAACAACAAAATTGATTCACGCACCATAATCGAAAAAAATTGAGCGGTTGCATTAGTCACGAACCACTAGCCACAGCCGCGGTTCTGTTGTTTTCGCCTTGCCATGAAAGCCTCAGCAAGTTTAGAGATGAACCTCTCTGTGTGTTTGTTATGTTTGTGGTTGTGCAACGCTAACACTTTCTTAACCATGGATCCGCATAGAACCACAAGATTAAGTGTGTCACGCTTTCTGCCCCTTGCGTTTTACGAGGGTTCGCCCATCCACCATAATTCCCGATTTCCATCGCGTTTGCTGATTTGCTGTAGGCACCGCCATCATCACCATCATCACCATCATCATCATCAACAGCATTAGCATCATCATCATCATCATCATCATCATCATCGCCATCATCACCATCATCAACATCATAAACATCATAAGCAACGTCAATTGGAACCCCAATGGCCCAGTCTGTTCAAATGGTTCCTAATTTCCTTACCTTGCCTGTCAGAGTTTTCCTCCAAACCACTGTAACCAAAAAAAACGGTATGTTCGATATATCCAAACAAGTTGTGCAAACGGTGAGGAACTGTCACGGTGGTTTTTTCCCGAATGCGTAGGAAGGGTTCAAATTTCTTTCATTCTGGGGATTATGGGGGTTTGGGAGTTGAGGGTGTGTTCGCCAAACGTTGCGCAACAGTTCGCAACCGTCCGCAACCGTCCGCAACTGTTCGCAACTGTTCGCGTGAGGTCGCTATGACCGTGCCTTTGGCAAGTTCTGCAAAAGCGGTCACTTTTGCAGGTTTCAAAGCCCGTTTCGCATGGCAAGCGTGGCACTTTGTGACATTCCAACATGGTGCATAACATCTTGAAAGTCGTATTGTGTGACACGCGCAATACTTTGGCAAGGTTTTCAGAAGATGACTTTCATTTGGCGTGGTAGGCGCAGCACTTTGGACGTGTCCATCTTCCTTTTGCGTGGCAGGCGAAGCACACTCGTGTCGCGCTGCACGTTTTTTTTTGTGAATCTCATTCTCTGGGCTGCGTCAAGTGGTGACAGCCTGCAAATCGCGTGGCAGGCCTGGGACATGGGGAGAATGTCGTTTTGCGTGGTTGCTGCAGCATTTTGTAACACTTTACACCTCACACTTTACACTTATTGACATTCCACGCTCCACACTCTACACTCTACCCTTACATTTTACATATTACACTTGACACTCCACACTATACACTTTGCACTTCGCACTTCACCCTTGACACTCTATACTTTACACTTCACACTCCACGCTCTACAGTTTACAGTTCACACTCCACACTCACCACTTTACACTCCACACTCTCTACACTTTACACTCCACACTCTCTACACTTTACACTCTACTTTACACTGCACACCTGACACTCCACACTCTATACTTGGCACTTTGCACTTCACACTTCACACTTGACACTCTATACTTTACACTCCACACTCTACAGTTTACACTTTAGACACCACACTCTACACTTTACACTCTACACTCCACCCGCTACACTCTACACTTTACCCCACACACTCTTCACTTTACACTCCACACCAAACACTCCACACTCCACACTTGACACTGCCTGAATTACTGACATGTGTCATCATTAGGAGACACAACATCATCCAATAGAGCGATGAAGTCGCCACCTGCCAAAGGTCACAGGAAACAAACATTGACACCCACTGCAACACTTCAGTTCATTCAGTTCACACTGCCGTTCAGACTATTTTGATTCCACGAAAATAGTGAGTTCAAACTCGTTCGGTCAAAACAAAATAGGTCACGATATGTCATGCCGGAATGGCTGCTCTTTGTGATCTCGGGGATCCTGGCTGGGGGGATCCCTGGTTTCGGCACTGAGCTTTGTTGCTTCTTGCACCCGCTGAATTGGCCCCTGTTGCTCTTTTCGTGTGCCTTTGTTCTTGTTTTCTGTTTGGGGCCATTCTTATCATGGCACAAAGCTGTCATCATGCATGATTTGAGATGATACTAAGCTATCACCTCTTGCTCTAATCCATCTTTTTCACCCACAACTGGTAGCTGTCACGTCATTGCTTGGTGTTCGCTTTGGTTTTGGTTTTGTTTGTTTTTGTTTCTGTTTGTTTTTTGTTTGGGGTGGTTTCTGTTTGTGTAGAAAAAGCGCCGTGCACAGATCTGCGGTCAGATCCAACGCTTCATCCAAAATTCCTACAGAACTACGCAGGCGGACGCGTACGTCAACCACGCACACCAAACACAAGCGCAGAGCGTAAATTCCCAAAACTAATTAAACTAAAGCAATACCGTGTCAAAAGGAATGTTTCTCCCTCGACTCCCACATGCTGACGTCAAGCTCCTTCTTTTCGCTCCAGACGCAACACGATCAGTCACAGAGAAACACAAACACAACAAACAAACACGAAACCAACAAAAGGAGAAGAACAGAGACAAGTTCGTGTTCCCTGTGTCGGTCTGTCTTATGTCAAGTTATGTGACACAGCAGCTCTTGTTCATTAAATGAACTTCTGACACCAGTCCTTCGAGCCGATGTCTCAACTGGCAAACTCGATTTCAGGTTTCCAGCTAACAAACCTCAAGTTCTTCAAATAAAGGTTTGTTGAAACTATTCCAGCTGCTAGAAGTCTACAAAACTCAATTTCACTATATGAATTCAAAATCATCGAAACACTTCCAAAAGTTCTCAAATCAAACTGGTTCTCATCCAAACGTGAATAACCAGCTCATTAATCACAAGCTGACTAACTTCTCAAGAACGAAGTGATTCACACAAGGTGTCTGTACAACCTTCTTCTGGATACAAAACATAGTCAGAACACAAAGTTCTTTCTCCAAATCAGCTTTCCACATAGAGATAGCATCTCACAGCTTCCAATCTCAATGGAGAATAGAATGTTCTATTCGACATTGTCAATGTAGGTCAGCCAAATACAGTTGTATCGCTGAAGTCTTTCGACCACTGTAATAGCCAATCCACAATGTAGACACGACTTTGGTCTCAAAGCAATGTCGTCCTCATAGAGATAACCAAAGTCATCTCAGGAACGATAAAATGCACACCATAAGATCAAATGTATGATCCATAGGTCACGATGACGATGATGTAGGTATTATCCT